TCAGGTTGAAGATCAACCAAAGCCTAACCTAAAGTCTTAAACCTTGAGCTTGGGCTTAGATTAATTTAATTATGACTAAAAAAAGTTAACCTATGGATTATTTTAATTATTGATAAAGTAAAATAAATAAAATAGAATACTAATGGATAATATGAAAAATAATTATTTATTTATTAAGTAATTAATAAATTATTTTTTTGTAACAAATTACTAAAATAAAGATATTAAAATTATTAATATAATTATAAATTTTCATTGTTTCACTTTTCTTTGATAAATCCCATACATCTCACGTCCCCGTGTATATATAGATAGATAAAAGATTTTGTATGTAGAAGTAAGAAAAGAATCAAAAGATAACTTCACGAAGCTAACATAATCCAATAGTGAGAACTGGCCAACATGGAGGTATTCTTCAAAATTCAGGAGGGGTATTGGTCAAAACTCATCTGCTACCAAATCTTTCCCATATCATAGATTTTTCCGTGAACTGATACAAGATGTGTATGCTCTTAAAGCTGTGTTTGGTTTGACCTTTGACGTGCTCTTAGTTAATGCAACTTGTGTAATCTACGAGCCACTATTGTTAATTTGGGCATAAATCAATAAACCATAAATGTGATTTGCGAAAGCTACAACAAATTTGTTTTACCGCAACCTGTGGCCAGATTTGCGTTGAGCAATTCTTCTACATTAATGACTTGGAATGATTCTTTTTGAATTGACCCTTTATGCTTTTAAAAAGTATACTCCTTTGCTTGGGAAAAAAAAGGCAATTGCTATCCTATACACATTCACATCCACTTTCAATGTTAGGTTGGTATATTCCAAATTAGAAACTTTGAAATAAATACCCAAGATGATAAAATTAATATATATTAAAGACTTTATTTCAATACCTCGAGTCAAGCCAATGAAGCTCAAATTTTCCAAAATTTTCAAATGAAAGCACTCTATCTATTACATGGTTTTAAAAAACAATTTGGAAATGAAACCATTATGGCTATTGGTTTTTAGGTTGATGGTTCGACCGTCTAGTTCGAATTGATGGTCCATTCTGACAATAAAAATAAAAAATAAAAAAATAAAAAATGGTCAAAAATTGTTAAATGGGTTGATGGGTCAATGATTAGGTCGTCCAGGCCAACGGGTCATTAATCGAATCAACGGTTTTTGGCCAGGGATTGAGTTTAGGGTAAAACGAAATCAGTTTGTCTAGATGGTTCTCAGGTCGAATGGTCCAACCGTCCGGATCAATGGCGGTTCGAAAACCATGTAACTCACCATATTATTAAGGATGTAAGTGGATAGGGTTAGGGTTGGATCAACCTTAATCGAGTTTTGGGTTGGGTTTATGTTAAACTGGGTCTATACTAACCCAAATCCATTGACATTACAACATTGAAATATTTATATAAATAAATTTTAGGTACCCTAAATTTTATTGAATATAGATGTAGTAGTACATTATAGGATGGGGTAAGTCGTGTTCGAGTGACCAGATAGGATCGGGTCAGATATAGTTGACCCGAATCAGTAGCAAAAACGATCTGTTGACCTCCCTACACATCTTCGCTGATTGGCTTGAGAATGGAAAAAGCTAACACCCGATGCAGAATTCTGAATTCCACCCCCCTACTACTAGCCCTCTCCCTTCTATAATTTAACATCAATTCACGGTCAGATGCATTCCCCCTCTATTATAGAGATATAAAATTTTGATATGGGCTGATTGGTCATTCTCCTTTTTTTTGTCTGTCTTTGGTAGCGAATAAATGATATTGATAGAGGTGGTAGGGTTAACAGTTTAGCACGGATTCGTTACTTGAAAGCCTTGTTATTAGTACGGGGGGGTCTTGCAATTAGCTGTTACCGCCAAGGCGTCGAGTAGCCCAATCTTAACTTGAGGGTGAGGGCCTGTTTGACGGGGCCTTGCCAACTGCTTGTACGGAATAACCAAATTTGGCTCTTCCATCTTTTACCAAACATTGTTTCTTTTTACGGGCTTTTTAGGTGGGCCCAACTTGCAGAGCCCATAATCATAATGTGAAAACTTCTCTAATGGCACGTTTGGAAGCATGAATCTGTGGTTGAGCTACTTTTGTCAGCCCACTTTGGAAAAGCTAGTAAAAGAAGCTTTAGCAGAAAGCTTTTTTTTTTTTTTTTTTTTTTTTTTCTTGTGGAAGGATGGTAAAAATGGGTTTTCTGGTTTTTGACTTCTTTTTTTTTTCCACCAAAATTGCTCATAAACTGTTTGGGTGTGAGTGTGATGCACCTTACACGGCCAAAAACCACCATGGAAAAGTCATTTCAAAGAGATAATTTTGGAAGTTATTTATCCAAGTTCTTTTATTTTTCAAGTAAATTAAGACAATAACCCTTTTATCCATAAAAAGTCATTTTTAAAAGGCATAATTTTGTTCCATCTAAACATGGACAACTTTCCCTCAGTGGAAAAGTTATTTTGCCCTATGAAAAATGACCCATGTAAATTTGAAAAAAAGAACATGACTATCTCATTCTATGAAAATAAGAATCCCATAGACCAATTTTTTCTCTTCTCAAAATCTGAAAAATGAACGAACCCTAAAGGCCCATTTGCTTCATAGGAATAGGGGTTTGGAGTCAACATTAAAATAGTCCATTCTAATTCCAACAAGAATGGGACGTTGATTCTCATTCCATGCATTTTTCCATTTGAGGGAATGGTCACTCTGGCCTCCCCCTTGGCAATTTCTCATTTCAATCGGCCAGGAAAAAGGCCAAGTGACTTAAAAACCCCCAAATTCTATTTCTCTTTACTCCATATCAACTCCCTTGAGGGTTGTTTATTTTTTATGGAATCCAATTTCAATTCCCGTATGAACCAAACAGGCGAAGAAAGCAAGCAATTTCCAATTCCATGGGTTTTCAATCCCAATTCTATTTCCAATTCTGACCGCGAACTAAATGGATCCTAAGCTTTCTCAAGCAAAGCCTTAAAGAATGCATACAGATAGGGCTGTAATTGGATCGAATTCGGATTGGATGCTGCAAAATCCAAATATTAAGATCCTACATCCGAATTCAATTTGAAATCTAATCGGATTTGAAGACTCGAATCCTAACGGATTCGGATTGGATTTGGATTTAATCCGACTCCACTTTAAATTCTCTAAAATACTAGAAAAATTAAAAATTTATTTATTTTCAACTTTTGTATATAATAAATTAATAATAACATACTAAAATTATTAAATATATAAATTCAAATATAATATAATTATAAAAGTATATTTTTATATTTTTAATATAATTATATAGAATTTATATATTAAAATTAATAAATATTATAATATAACCAGATCAGATGGGGTCAAATTTGAATCTGATCTGATTATTAATCAGATGTAGATTGTAACATCCAAATCCAATCTGATTACATAAATATATCATCTGAATCCAAAAAAATAAGATCGAATGTCAGATCGGGCCTCGAATTTTTAGATATCATTGGCATGCCTACTTACAAAACCAATTGCACCTAAGAAACAATGTTGATCACTAAAATGAACCATTGACCAAATCCTTAAACCGGTGATTTAAACAGTTGATCAGATAGAAGAAGCATGAATTTTTCAAATGGCAACATAGCATGTGTGTTTGTACCGTGGGTGTTTTGTGATAGGCGTTTATCAAAATGCCACCATGTCATCACCAAATCAGTATTTTTCCATCATATTCATCTATATGCATTAATATTCACAAAAGTGAATTTTGATTTCTATGCACACCAACTGTTGGAAGAATGTTCATTTTAACGCTTCCCCAACAATTAAGCATTTATTCATTATTTCGTTGATGTGGCGCCTAATAGAGCTTAATGATGCCTAATTGTCCATAAACACTTCATCAAATACTACAATTCAAATAAAAAATTTATTTAATAAACAGAAACTATACCAAACACAAACTAAAATTTCAGCTTGTCACTTTTTATTTCTAGTCATAGTCAAATCAGACCAAAAATTTTGCCACGTGTCTAAATTAAAACATCACTTCATTTCCATCACCACACATTCTAAGGATTACATGAACCGAATTCTAGGGGGCACGAGAGTTACTTGGGTCGCCTGAAATGGACCGGTCCACATTCTAAAATAATTCCAGCCCGATCCAAAGTCGAATATGGATCATAAATTTGCAAATTCATAGATCCGACCCAAAAGCATAAATCCAGCAGACCCGATCAGAGACGAAACGGGATCTGCTCCTCACGCAGGAGCGCCTCACATGTACATTCACTGTGTATTAATAACATTTCCCGTGAATAATAATTTAGAAATACGGGAGATGTTGCCATTGTACGATAAAGTGTCATATGTGAGGAGTAGATCCGATTTCATTAGATACCATGGTTAAATACTTAAATACATGTGGAAGCAATCGGCAGAGAACGGGATCTGTTTCTCACACTTGGGCGCCTCACATATGCATTCACCGTGCATTGGGAATATCTTCCGAAAAAAATAATTTACAAGTACGGAAGATGTAGGATGTGCGTGTGAGGCGCCCTATGTGAGGAGCAGATCCGGTCTCGTCGGTAGGGAGGTTTTCCGGTTGAATGGCCAGGATTCTTCTCCTCTCCTCTGAAAACCTGGCCGCCCACATCGCTTGGGGCCCATCAAGTCAGGAGTTGCAGACTGTACATATACATAGGCCATGATCAACGTGGCTCTATCACCTGTCATCAAGGAGACCGAGGATCTGCGTTCGAACCATGCAACGTAAATTTCGGTTGGTGACGTCATCATCAATGACGAACTCCCTTAATCCTACATGGCAGCAGGACCATTGCCTACCGACAGCAGCCGAGGAGGGCGCAGCCGCACAGGGTATGCTATTATACGCTATCTTTGTCTTGCTCCGCTTATAAGCTCCGCCATTATTAGCTTCCATGAACAAGACTCAGAAACCTTCCAGAAAGATACAGCCAACCGAGTGTTCTCATGGCGTCAATTCTCTGTAAGCTTTTCTTATTTTTAATTACTTCATTGGTTTTCTTTTCAAATTTTGTTTAGATTGTTCCGCAGATCTGCTTCTGTGTTTCTTGGGAAGTGTAAATATCGAGTAAAGTAAAGAGAATTTTGGGAATCTCTTCGTTTTTTTTTGTTTGTATTGTTCTTTGAGTTTGGGGTTCTGATTCAGCTTCAAGTTTTTCGAATTGGGGTTTCCGGGTTAATTTGAGTTTTGAAGAAAATTTTATGGTTTGACTTTGTCTAGTTTAATATGCTGAGTTTGTTGATGAAGATGAAGAGCTAAGACTGACTTTGTACTTAGGGTTGGACTTCGTTGTTTCTTCGTCATATTTCTGGTACCCTTTGTCTAGTTTTGGCTGTTCTTATTCCATGTTATAAGCTCGGATTCTGAAAATGGTAGAGCTTAGATTTGTGTCCCAAACTAGCAAGATCATTCTGAGTTCTCGTTCTGGTTGACCGCTATCTGTTTGCTTAAAGTCTGATGAGACGCCGTCAGACGGCGAGCAGTCCTCCTGAGCAGATGGAGAAAGCGGTAGGGAAGAATCAGCGGACTCGTCTCTGTTTCTTGGTGTCTTTGTCTGCTTTGTTTTGGTTCTTGTTGTTTTACTTCCATTTTGTTGTTCTTAAAAGTGGTACCGTTGATCAATCTGTAAAACTACAACCCGTTCCTGTCCAAACCGAGTCTGCCAAGGCACAGGCCAAGGCGCGTCGTGCACCTGAAAGTTATCCATTTGTGAGGGCTTTGAGAACCATAGAGAACAAGAGCGATCCTTGTGGAGGAAGGTACATATATGTCCATGATCTTCCTCCTCGGTTCAATGAGGACATGCTCAAGGAGTGTAGGTCTCTCAGCCTCTGGACGAATATGTGTAAATTTACCACCAATGATGGGCTTGGTCCCCCATTAGAGAATGTGCAAGGGGTCTTCTCCAATACTGGATGGTATGCTACAAACCAATTTGCTGTTGATGTGATTTTCAGCAACCGGATGAAGCAGTATGAATGCTTGACAAATGATTCTTCTATTGCTGCTGCCATTTTTGTTCCATTCTATGCTGGGTTTGATATATCCCGTTATCTTTGGGGATATAACATATCGGTTAGGGATGCTGCTTCTCTTGATTTGGTAGACTGGTTAGTTAAGAGGCCTGAATGGAAGGTTATGGGAGGAAAAGACCATTTTCTGGTTGCAGGAAGGATAACATGGGATTTTAGGAGACTAACGGATGAAGAAACAGATTGGGGTAACAAGCTTTTGTTTCTTCCAGCAGCTAAAAACATGTCGATGCTGGTAGTTGAATCAAGCCCATGGAATGCAAATGATTTCGGTATCCCATACCCTACTTACTTCCATCCAGCAAAGGATAATGATGTGTTCATTTGGCAAGACCGCATGAGGAAATTGGATCGCCCATGGCTCTTCTCATTTGCTGGGGCCCCACGTCCTGGCAACCTCAAGTCAATTAGAGGGCAGATCATTGAGCAGTGTAAGAAGTCCAAGGTCTGCAAACTACTGGAATGTGATTTTGGGGAGAGTAAGTGCCATTCTCCAAGCAGTATAATGCAAATGTTCCAGAGTTCTCTGTTTTGCCTGCAACCTCAGGGTGATTCTTACACCAGAAGATCAGCTTTTGACTCAATTTTGGCTGGTTGTATTCCTGTCTTCTTCCATCCTGGTTCAGCTTACACACAATACACATGGCATCTTCCTAAGAATTATTCAAAATACTCTGTGTTCATTCCAGAGGATGATATTCGTAAGAGAAATGTTAGTATTGAGGAAAGACTAAGCCAAATTCCTTCTGAGCAGGTAAAAATCATGAGGGAGGAGGTTATAAGTCTCATCCCGAGGTTGATATATGCAGATCCTCGGTCAAGATTGGAGACTCTTAAAGATGCCTTTGATGTAGCTGTACAAGCCATAATTGACAAAGTTACCAGGTTGAGGAGGGATATTATTGATGGTCGTACAAATGATAATTCTGTGGAGGAGAATAGCTGGAAATATGCCTTACTAGAAGAAGGACAACATGAAGTAGGGCCTCATGAATGGGACCCTTTCTTCTCGAAGCCAAAGGATGAATCTGCAGAAGCTGCTAAAAATTCTTGGAAGAGTGAGCAAAGGGATCAATCATGACTGGAGTGGTAGAAATTTCATGTGCATCGTATAAGCTCGAATCATTTCTAATACTTGCCCTCGGGAACTTAAAATAAGCCCGCCTGCAGTGAGTGAAAAAGGATGGCAGGTAAGGTGATCAAGAACCTGCGATGCAATCATATGGGGAACTTGCCATCAACCTCGTCACACCTTTGCATGTAAAACCTTGTTTAAATATATAATTCTGATATGTTTGTTCAAAAGGGTAGCTATATTTAATTTTTCAGTAATTCTTTGTATTGTTCTTTTTCACTTTGTAATGCCAAGATGAGCTATAATCATGTTTTCTGATCCATTCAAAGAATACAAAGAATTAGCGATGAGATTTTATTGTTCAAAAGTAACTTTCTTTTCCAAGCACAATATTTTGGTTCAATAACTTGTTTTATTACCTATGAAGGGAAAAATCCATTAAAATGACCTTTGGAACATAATAAGCTTACTTTCATGTTTAATATTTGATATTCACAATCTATAACGCTATCAGAGATTTGCAACGTGTGGATTGCTGTTCCTCCGGTGGCACCAGTGCAGTGTAGAGTGGTTTTCTTAGAATATTTACAAATTTGACATGGCAAATGGTAATGTGGAGAGAACCATTTTTTCTGTATTGATGTCAATCACGTAATACTGTTTGCCATTTCTCCCATCTAGGTTTTATGTGTACCATTGCATATTGCTTGGCATAAAGCATGAAACGATGGATTTTAATTTTTCACATATTACTCAGTAGGTATTTATGTTCTATATTCTCTATGCACCCTTATTTATGGAAAAGTTCATTGAAATCACAACATTGGCACAAGTAATCTACCTTGATACCCAACCCTATTATCTTTAATGTTCTAGCATGTGTTTAAGTGTGTTTAACATGTATATTTTTATGATTTGCAATTAAATTTCTTTATTAGGAAAAAAGTCCTTTGCTCTACTAACTTTTATTTGCTAAGATATGTCTGTGCATGTGGCTTGGTCTTCCTCCAAGATTTGTCCAGACTCCAGACGTGTGTGGTTCATACATCAATTACAGAAGTAGCTCTCTCTCTCTCCCTCTGATTCCCTTAGACATTTTATCTTATCATTATCATCTGGATACCCCCACCCTAATTGAAGAAAAAAGAGAAGAAAGGTTATTGTTTATTTATTGATGGATGCTGTGTGCATTATTACTGCATGGTGGAAGGGGTGTCGTGGTTGGCTTTAGGTAGTTCCAGATGTTAAAAGTTTTCCTGGTTGTCAAAGGGGTGTCTGCATAAGTTTTGGAATTTTCTATTTGAGAGATCATGAGGATTGCAGATTAAATGGAAATCATCATCTTCTGAGGTTTCTGATACCTTAGCAGGACTTACCATGACAGCAGTTTCATAGAAAATAGATATGGCACACCAGATTCAGCTATTGCAACATGTTTTTACTTTTTATCTAACTTGAAAATTTATGTTTGAAGTGGATGAATAGAATCACATTGCTTCTTCTTTCAGGATATGTTTGGTCTGATAGGAAATAAGAGAGAAACAGAAAGTTGAGGGGAAGTTCATAAGAAAATTTGCAAAATTCCTTGAGAACTTTCCTTCAAGTCTGTGTTTCTCTTATTTCCTATCAAACGAAACACAGCCTTAGTGAGAAGGTTTTCAATGAGATTGTGAGCTCCTTGACAGCTAAAGATGGAGTAGGGTTTATCAGTTGTACTCTCAAGTATTTTATAGCCTTTTTGTTATTATTGTTATTTTTAATTCTTGTTTTGCTCAATTGATAAACTTCTGAACCCTGTAATTGGTGCTTAACTTGCCTCTTGATTCCAATTGTATCAATTTTTGGATAATGATCATTGTCTCTTCTAAAGATTCTCATTTGTATCCAAGGCCCCTATTGATGAATTCAGAAACGGCAGTGACTTGTCACCTGCCAAAAGAATTGGATCAGATTGGCGCTTTGAACATACAATGAACTCCACATTCCATCACACCTTAAATATGACTATCACATCCTCAAGAAAACCCCTATTCTTAGTGCCCATTTGGGTGGGTTGAAAGCACAGTGGCTTCTGGCTTTCTAAGGTGGGCTCACACGGACAGCCAATAAGTTATGTTTGGTGAAAACTCTGGAGAGCCCAAATCGGCTGTTGGTCAATCATATGAAGGGCCGTCCGTTCAGTCTCTTTGAATAGCTTATCAAGAGTGCTACAAAGCAGCTGAACCAGCTTAATTAAATCTTCAGCTCAGCCTCCCAAACAATCCCTTCATTTGCTGGCCCAAGCCTGAGATCCATGGGCTTAGCTGCAACAAGTACCTGTCGACTACCCTCTACTGTCACATGGTGGCACTTTTCCATCCATATACTTAATTAAAACACAAGAAATAGATAGTTCATCTTCATCCAATTATACATGTATTTATTTAATTAATGACATTCACCTTTTCCTCAATGTGGATTAAAAAATAAGTAAATAAATAATTGAATTACTTAAAATCAAAATATAATGAAAGATAATATAGCCTAGACACGAGCGATTGATGATTCTTGAATCATAACCTGGGCGAGATTTCCATCCGTTGATGTGTATATAAGGCCTTAAGGTGTCTCCTCAGGATCTTCCCAGAAGGTGACCTTGGGATAGCCTCCACAAACACCACTCTTCGAACCTTCTTATAGGGAGCTACCTGAAGATATATCATGTGCTGATCAGAAAACCATAGCTAACAAGTTAAAAACTTAGAATCAACAAAGAATAAACAGTAAGGGGTTGTTTGGTTGATAATAGACTTGTACAATGTGAAAGTAACGCTAAAAAGCTTCTAGAATATATTTATTCACTCCAAAAGCACAAACAAGGGCAAACTTATACCATCTATAACTATTCTATATGGAGGGAAAAAGATAAGTCAAAAGTTCTCTTACCTTACCTCAATGAGCACATGGATCTCCTTCTCCCCTCATTTCTCATACGTGTGTTATTTATTTCTAAATATGGTTATTAAAGTATAAATAGTTACAATAAAATCATTTTTAAATTTCTCTCTCTCTCTCTTAAAGTGGGGTTGCAGGGATACATGTGTATAAAACAATAAATTACATGGGTTGGGTTGGATTGGCTGAGGTCCAACCTAAGATCAACTATAAACATGGACCTGCCTTGCATGGACCCAAACTGATGTCAAAACTAAAATGTGCCAACTTACAATTAAAGGAATTTCTATTCAAATCCATGTACAGCATGGGCTTACTTGTTTAGACTTTAGAGTAGAGCAATTCAGACCCATTATTACCATAAAGCCAAAAAAATGCCTTTCTTGAGGGCCTGTTTGGAAGAGTTTAAGCTTTGTTTGAATTGTTCACTGAGCCACTTCGAAAAAACTACTAAAAAAATTTACTAGAAAGCCAATTTTTTTGGCAGACCAACAGCCTACTTGGGCTTTCTGGATTCCTCTCCCTCCCCCCCAAAGCGCAAAGTCAAAGCTGCTGCGCGAAAGCCCTCCCCAATATAGGCTTATAGCTTCAACCAAACAAACCATTCAAGGAATTAATGTAAGTACCTTGCCAGCCACGAATGTTATAATGTCTCCCTCCTTGATTTTGCTTGCTTCCCTTTTCACTACACAAGCCATGGGGATTTCTCCTGCCTCTTCATCTGGGTACCTGCTCATTTCATTTAGGATATTTACACGTTTCTTCTGTAAACTTAGAATATTTCCTAAATTAAATGAGAAAAATAAATAGAAAGTCTAATAGTTTTGATCTATCTATCTTCACTAATTATTCTTATCCGTTATGTCAAAAATTCTCCAATAGGTTTTGTATGAGCTTACGGAATCACAGCAACATCATTTACATCAGGATGGGCGGATAGTATTTCCTCAAGCTCAGCCGGAGCAACCTTGTAGATCAAAATAAGAGTAAGAAATGAGCAACTCGAACGTCCAAGGCAGACAGACAAGCAGAACAATAAGGCATAAGAACAGAAATAATTGAACAAAGGAAGAACCAAACAATACCATACCTGGTAGGCTTTGTACTTGATGAGCTCCTTGATCCTGTCGATTATGTAGACAAGTCCAAAAGTATCAATGAAGCACAAATCTCCAGTATGCAGCCATCCTTCATTGTCAATAGCCTGGGATGTGGCTTCTTGGTTCTTGAAGTAACCTAGAAAGACCAGGCGATCGAGTGGTAATCAGCCTCAATATGTTTGTATAAAGTTCTAAGTTGTAATTTAATTTGTTGTGCTCCTCAAATTCAGAACCTATTCTATCAAAGCTTCATATGCAATAAGGCATGGCATGTAATAGAAGCCTTCAAGTCGGCAATAAAAAAATGGGTTTGACTATGATACTGAAAAGACATGATATCAGAAAAACTTATAACCAATCAACCAATACCATGAAAATTAACAATAAATCAGGTGGTATTCATCAAAATTCATGGGAGTTTTGATTGGTAATAGTTTTTTCTGGTATTGCATATATTTCTGGCATCATATATTTTTCCTAAAACAATTTGTCCAACATGTTAAGGCAAAGAAGATACCTTGCATAACAGGAGGCCCTCTCACACAAAGCTCTCCGTGTTTGAGAGGAGGGAGGGACTTCTGTGAACGCACATCAATGATCTTGGCCTCCATGAATGGGATCAACCTTCCAATGGAAACATGGATTCTACCACTAATCCCGTTGCAAAATGTAATGGGGCCATTTGTTTCTGTTAACCCGTAACACTGCATCACCATAATCAACAAAAAATGAGTCCCGCTATGGTACCCTAAACGGTATGGTACGTAAATCATTTTGATCAAAGGACATTTTTTGGCTGATGGCTAATTTTCTCAATCAAAATTCCAATATTAGAATTGAATCCTTATGGGTGCCAAACATCTCCCCATGTGGGAGAAGTTCTCAATGCATGTTGAGATGTCCATGGGGTGTCAATCTGAATTCGTTAGAATTGGACGTTTGGCAAAGAACTTATAGATCTTAGGATGTGGGTACCTTTAAATGGAGTACATATCAAGTGAACTTGATAGTTCATAGTTGTTTTATGGGCTGTTGGATTCATCATTTTGTTCTATACCAGTCATAAATGCAAGTGATACCATTGCAGTTCAGGAACCGTTTTGGGGTTGATCAATACAAATTGATGAGAAAGATGAGTTGTTACATTAAATAAGGGAGTAACTTCGACCGAAAAAAAAATGTATGTGGGGACTGATCATTTGATGTTTCAAATAACAATAGAAATTTATATTGATCAACCAATAAACGATTCTGATTATATGACAAAACAATTTATATTTTAACTAAGGTTTTAAAAATCAACCCGGAACCGCTTTGGTCACTGGTTCTCGGGTCAGTGGTTTGATTGTTCGGTTCAAACAGATAGCTCATTTGTTCCAACTTAAAAAATAAAGAAATAAATAATTAAAATAAAAAAACAACCAAAAAATGTTGTTTGGGTCAAATGAATACGGTTCGAATGCCTGAGTCAACGGATCACTAACCAAATCAACAGTTTATAGCCAAGGAGTGGATTGAGGGTGAAATGGAATTTATTGCCTGAACAATTTTCAGGTCGAACGGTCCCATCGTCCAGGTCAACACAAAAATATAAATAGCAATGATACAAAACACAACCCTAGTGGTTGTAGACCATGATTTTTAAAAACGAACTGGTGACCGAACTGATCAGGGGTCCGGTTACAGGTTCGAATGGTCCGATCGTTCGACCCGAACGATCAACCTATTCTGACAAAAAAAATTAAAAAAATTGGAAAACGGTCGAACGGTTAATCAGCCGATTCAGCAATTTACTGACCAAAATCAATAATTTTAGAGGAAAAAATGGTTTTGAAGGAAAACAAAACCGATCAGATGACCGATTCCTGGTTTTTCCAGTCCGATCCGGTTTTGAAAACAATATTGTAGACCATGTGCTCTTTACTGCTACGGTGGGACTTAAATTGATCCCACATAAAAGAGCTATGAAGTTCAGCTAATCCTTTCAAATGCTTAGAAAAGATTGAAGAGGCCCACTTTGCGGAACTCCTTTCCGGGAAAAGTAGAAAAGTTTTGGATTCGTATTTTTGAAAACCCATTTTCAGCAATCCGATCGGTTTCAAATGTCATCAAAGTCATTGCTTTATGGTAAGATTCAAACACATGACTTGTTTGTTCATAAAATGACATATAACCATTAAGTTTCACTTGTGTTTAGGGGGTGCTCCATCATCACTTTAAATCTGTTACCCACAAATTATTACCACATCCTTAGAACACTACTACTGTATATTGAAAACATCTTTCCACGAATGATAAGGAAGATATTTTCAATGCACAGCTATGATGTCCGGTGGATAGGGATGTAAGAACAGCTTGTGGGTAACAGATTTGAGCACTTTCTTGAGCGGGTTCGTGTTGAGTTTTGCATGGGCCTCGTGATTAAAATATTACTACACCCAATACCCTCAAGTGGGCATCAATGCATATCGATATAACCAGGGCTGTTCATAAGAAGACGCAACCCGACCAAACCGATCAACCCGGACCGATCTAACCGAATTTGGCTGGGTTTTCTTTAATACCGGTCGGTTTCGGGTTGTAAAAAATTATAAATCGATGGTTCGGGTCGGGTTTGGTTTTCATGTGTGAAAACCGAAACCGGTCCGAACCAAACCAACTTAATAGTTAGTAGTTAGTTCGTAGTTAGTAGTTACAACCTACTTAGTTCCTACTTAACTAAGTTGTTTCTATCCTAATTAGAACCTAACTTAATTTCTAGTCTTCTAGTTAGGAATGACATTAATGGCAAATATTGTAAGACAATTAGACAATGAATTTTTTTGGAAAAGTTTAAAGAAAAGAATCAAAGGATCCTAGTTTCTATGGTCTTTTACACCAAATAGGTAACCAATTACAATTAGAATTAAGTGTCATTTTTTACTTAGATTAGAAGGTTTCTTGAAATATACAAATTTCAGTCTTCTTTCTCTAATACAGTTTGATTTTCTATTTTCTTGATAACTTCTATTCTAACTTGGTCTGCCCCCCTTAGCCTCTCAACTCAAGCACAATCTTTAATACAATTTGACTCTCAAGCATGGTTGAACTTAGAGTCGAAACCGACCCAACCCGATTCAAACCAACCAGGTCGGTTTTGCTTAACACAGGGTCGGTTTCGGCTTCAATTTTAGGTAACCCGACCAGAACAGGTTGGTTGGAAAAATCTCAATAAATCGACCCAACCCGACCCGTGAATAGCCCTAGATATAACTGATACCTCCATTTTTCTATTTTATAAGTATTTAAGCAAGGAATTGGGATCTCCTGCCAATAAAACATATTCCAACACCCTACCAATTTTATCCGACACCACACATCTCACTAAGAAACTGAGGCCCACCATAAAAGTAGGACCCGCCATGCATGAGATGTGCGGTGTGTTAGATGATGTTGGTAAGGCGTTGGAATGTGTTTTATTGGCAGGTGCTCTGCACTCATTAAAGAATTCTACTCAGAATTTTAAAATCTTAATTATTTTAAAAAATTATATCGATATATACATGCACCGATTAAAATACCATACGAATATATCAGTATTTTAATCGTTGATGGGGGCAGTTTCAACCCAAACCAAACTCCGTCGATAGCAGTGCAATTTTGTATTGGGCGGTTGGGCCAGCTTCATGAATGCAAATAAAACCATGAACCAATCATAACCATGCAATTTTGTGTTCATTGCCCCATTAAAGGACACGCTATGTATGTTATAAAGTAAGACCTGATATTAATTTTCATTGGTCCCACTCCCTTCTTGAGTCCATGTGGCAACTAAATGCAGGAATTGAATAAAGCAGCATCAAGGTTTTTAAATTTGAGGTCTGTTCAAGTTATACGGCATGGTCCAGACACCAGCTCATCCGGTCTGATTCAGTGTTTTGCCTTCCAAGAATGGATTGCATTTGATGAATCAAAACAATAACGATTTCAGTAATCAAAATTTTTATAATGTTTTAGTATTTTATAATACTACTATAAGGGAAATATCATGCCTATGTGCAAATAAAGATAAAAGAGCAAAAGCTGAAAAGATGAAATTATATTTAGATTTTAATTTTTGTGTATTTCTTCAGATGCTTTAATTGGATAACTGAATTTAAATATTAACATATTTGAGCATTTTTTTTTTGTTATTTATAATTATTAATTTCATATGAAAATTTTGAGTGAAACAAATACCTAAAATTTCAATCAAAATAAATCCTTCATATATGTCTTAAGTAGCATTTCTCAAACACTGTGTAAGAAAGAGGTGTTCTAAAACTTACAAGAGGAATAGTAATAATTTTTTGTGATTCTGTTTTTGTATGCATCTATGTACATACTTGAAGAATTGGTTCAAAATAAACTAAGTGCAGCTGAGTACATAGTTTTGATATATATGGTGGTGTGGACGAGGCAAGTATTGGCATTAGAAGAGCCCCAATTGAAAATTTTATGAAAATCATCAGTTTCGATACCTCCAAGGAAGAAAAGGGGTGGGGGGAACCATGCCATAGGTTGTATTGATTGAGGCAGATACTGACATTAAAACCCTAGCCAAACTTATTGGTAATTCTTCAACAAATGAAATCTGGTTGTTTTTGAACCCATAAATGACTAGGAGAACGAGTTCACATCTGCACCCCACAAGATGATAAGACATCATTGGGATGTGCAGTGGGGCGCAGATGTCAATTCTAGGAGAACAGGGACTACTAGGCTCAGTTTAGAAAGAGTATAAATTCAAATATATATATATATATATATATAAAACTAAAAGAATACAAAAAATATAAGGTTAAGGGTCAGTTAATATATAGAATGCAAAACTTTTATTTTTTATGTATTTGCACTGTACATATTTGTATTAATACTCCTTGCAACCTGAGCCTTAAGCTGCAACCGGGTTATCATTAATGGGGATTCTCTTTTATGAATTTGCATTGACTCCCCACGGAGCGCAACCCACGGCACATCTGCGTGTGGGGAGCCAATCCAAAATCCTCTTGAATGCCTTAAGAAGAACATAGACCCTCTCTGTGGAGAATCAAGAATTCTCTGATATGAGCAATTAGGGGTAAGGTTTTCTTGTAAACTGATTATTAGCCAATTGGGATATTATTTTTGTTGGTAATCAGTGTAGGTGCCATAAATTTTTTGATATTAAACAGAGAGAGAGAGGTCATAACTGTTAATTAAACAGGAGAGAGAGAAAGGAGGGCTTACCTGAGAAAGTATGAGATGGGGATAGTACTTGCTAAAACGTTCCATGTCATCCCTCCCTAAGGGAGCCCCTGAACATATCACCTCCTTCAGAGAACCCAACTCAAATCCCTTCAGCCAATCTCTATATCTGAGTAGCTGCAGCACGATGGGCGGCACCACCGGGAGCCTTGTCACCCGATGATCCTCCACTGCTCTCAGCATCTCCTCCATGGAGTACTTCCGTAGAATCACCGTCGTCGCTCTCACAGACACCGTTCCCAGAACCAGCACTGACAGCCCAAACATATGAAACAACGGCACCACGCACAAGTAAGTTTCGTCGCTCGCCCCACCCTCTGCATCCCATACGTGCCTCAGCAGGCCGCTCATGGCTATGAGGTTGCCATGCGAGCACACCACGGCCTTACTCTTTCCGGTTGTCCCTGATGAGTACATGAGAGCAGCAGGGTTAGCTGCAGCCTGAGTGGTGACCACGTTAGGGAATGCCGCCGACGTGCAAGGTTGCCGGCTACTACTTTGCACTAGTACTTCATTTATGAATTCTTCCACCAAAACAACAGGCTTTGAGATCAGCCCGTCTAGCTTCGGTTTGAATTCACGAGAAGTGAGGATCAGAACTGGGTTGGAATCTTGGGTCTGGGCGTGGAATTCCAGTCTGGTGTTTAAAGGGTTGGCCGTGCTAAAAATCCCACCAGCGTGCATGACCCCTAGGACTAGCAGAGGGAAATGGAGGAAGTTTGGCGAGACGACAAGCACCACGTCGCCTTTCTTCACGCCCAGCGAACGTAGGCTGTGGGCGACGGCCACTGTGAGGGAGCGGAGCTCTTGGAATGTGATGGAGTCACCGGATTTTGAGTCGATGAAGGCGGGTTTGTGGAGTGAGCGAGGAGGGAGGTGTGAGAGGAGAAATGAAGGGAGGGAGAGAGATGGGTTTTGATGAGGGGGGAGTACTGGGGAGTCCCATTTGCTGTGGTAGATGCCGGTTGATGGGCAGTACCCACTCTCAACAGAGACCTCCATTTCTCTCTTTCTGGCTTTCTCTCTACCAGTCTACCTTCTACTGGACGTACTCTCTCGATCGATCCTGGTGGATATATATCATCGACCATGCGAGAGCAATAAATAGGATTGGTAGGGCGAAAGGAAATGCTCCGTTTGATTGTTCCTGCTTTAACTTTCCTATCTCTACCCATTGACTCGCATTGCTGTCTACAGTATTTACTGTACGACTTATAGAGCTGAGAACTGACAAGACAGACTGAGCATGGATCAAGCGAAGGTTTGGTATTAATGCATGGCTGGGGACTGCACCCACAACCACAATGTGAACTTGACACCATGTTTGATACAAAACTTTCAGTCAAAGGTCAGCAATGCAATCACACTGAGAAAGTGAGAATCCGTCAAGCAAAGAGACGACGGAAAGACAATTGGATGGTTGAAGTTATTAATTATCATGTCGTGAAAGTGAGGGATTCCCGAGGAGAGGTCCAGAAACAAAAGTTTGTTCATTGAATTACTGCAGGAATTCAGGCCCCGAAGTCTTGCAATGAATCTGTTTTATTTGATAAAGCGAATTAACAGGTTTCCAACTCTAACTAAGCGTTCAGCTGAGTGTGCTTGGGGTATTAAAAGGTTAAGGTCGATCTGTCAAAGTAATGACTTCCAGAGGCTACCCCATCATAATGGGTCACAAAATATGGGTTCTGAGCAGGAAGGGCAGTTGGTTGTTGATTTATTTCCTTTAAGAGCCCCCCTTTCTAGTTTGCTTATTAGAATGCAAAATTGGCTTGCTTTTGATTAATCAAATCAACTACATCACTACTTATTACGTCAAGTTTGGGAGTGTTTATTTTTTAAAATAATTGTTTATTGAATAAGTACTTAAAAATAAGTACTTATTTGTGTTTGAAACCTTAGTTTATAGAGAAAATCTATGATGAAGAAAACGTATGATGATATGGGAAGAGTTTTGATCAATCAAAATCCACCCATGAATTTTGATAAATAACACTTATGATTCCAATTGACTGATCAAAAGTTTTTCAGATATCATATTTTTTCTATATCATATAGTCGAACCCTAGTTTATATTTATATTGGGCGTTTGATGGCCTTTTCTCCCATAAACAATTATTCATTTAAAAAAGACATCTTTTATTCTTTAACCCTCATTTTAGGAGTGCCACATGTACAATCATTTAACAGATTTTTTAAATGGTAAACCTAGCACATTATTTGCTAATTCGAATAAAATGAGAATTTTCCAATCAACTCTAACAAATTATGCTTTGTTAATTTGAAAAAGACAAAATTGCCCCTTGTTTAGGAGTGCCGTGCCGATTGATCTATTAACGTCTGATTGTTTTGCCAACTAATCAACTTCCCAAGATGCCACAACAAAATCATATATCCATATTTTGTTCAGTTAAATTAAGAAAATGACAAAATTGCCCCTCGTTTAGGATTCTCATTCCTAGAGCTGTTCATAAGAATGCCCAATCCGACCAAACCAACCAACCCGGACCGACCGTACTGGTCGGTTTCGGGTTGGGCACATACAAAAACCGATATCTCGGATCGGTTTCGGTTTTCACATAAGAAAACCGAAACTGACCCGACCCGAACCGAACTAGTCTTTCTTCTACTAATTTGGTAGTTCCTACTTCCTAGTTTGAATAGTTTCCTAATTCCTACTTACCTAGTAGGTGTCACTACATCCTCTTCCTCATTCTCATACTGTGCAAATAAACAACCCGCTGCCATGAAATTGTGAATTGTCATGCAAGACACAACAATTAGTACTCTTAAGATTAGTTAATGAAAAAATCTTATAAAAAACCCCATTGTTAGGTCTAATTTGGAATCTACTGTAATTGTAGAACTATAATTTGGGGGGTGTCCATTGTTGAGCCAAGTTTGAACTTGTCCTATTTACCTATCCAAATTTGGTCTGAATTCAAATCGTGCTATGATCATGCTAAAGAGGAGCATTTTCAGATATTCACAACACAAGGAGAAAAGTCACAGTCAATATTCACAAAAAATAAAATAATAATAATAATAATAATAATAATAATAATAATAATGGTTGAATTTAGGGGAAAAACCATTTTAAATATTCAGTTAAAAAAAAAAAACAGACATTTAGAGAGGACTTCACTAACCTGGACGCAAATCCAACTTTGAGCTTGAAAAACCCCAACTCGAAACAAAAGAAAACACATCTTATTAGGTCGGGTTCGAAGAACAAAACGAAAAATAAAAAAAAATGAATGCCTAGTTGATCGATAGAGGATGATAAAATAAATAAAATGAAAAGAGAGGATACCTTGCTTGGTTGATTGGTTCGAGTTGTACTATTGCTGGTTTTTCGAGAAGATGACAAGGAAGAATCTATCCTAGTTCAAAGAATAAATGAAACATGATAAAAACCAAACAAAGAAAAATACTTTACTAGGTTGATCATTGAGGATGAGAAAACGAAAAAAGAGAGGACACCTTACCTGGCTAATCGGTCGAGTAGTAGTTCCATCGCTAGTTTGGAGAAGATGATGGAGAAAAAAGTGTCCAAGAGCCAAACCTTATGTTTGCTTTTGGTCGATCCAAGGGCATAAGTGTCATTTTAAAATTTAATTGGGAATAAATTTTACAATCAAAATTTCAAATAATTGCTTATTGTATAAGAACTTTAAAAAGTTGGAAATTTGGGCTTATTCAATAAGCACTTTTAAAATAAATACTTATTTTTGACTTATTTCCCAAATACCAATAAGTGCTTATTGGTGTGATCCCAAGCTTCCAGTCCAAAATAAGCGATTATTCAAATAAGCACTTATTTTTAGGCCAAGTTTAGGAGTGCTTCTTTTAAGAATAAATGCTTAAAAATAAAGGCTTATTCAAATACACACTTAATTGTGTTTGATAGTTAGCTTTTTTAAGTGTTTATTTAGAAAAAAAAAAAAAAAAAAGATAAGCCTAACAAAACATGATTTACCTCGAACATCCCTCCTTCCCTGTCCTACTCTCTCTCTCTCTCTCCCTCCCTCCTTGATACCGATCAATCTAACATTTTTCTACAAAAATTGAACGAAACCCAGATAATAGAATATAGAATCAGAGATGCACAAAAGAGGTCCAAAAATTCCAATCAATCAAACATTTTTCTACAAAAATTGAACGAAACCAAGATAATAGAATATAGAATCAAAGATGCACAAAAGAGGTCCAAAAATTCCTACAGTTGGTGTTGATTTTCATTTATGTTTAATTTATAAAGAAAAAGAAATAATCAGAGCGGAGGAATCAAACTAGTTTTCCGGATGGGAGGAAGAGCTTCCATCTCCAAAGGAGTTGAAGAAGATTGATGCCTCTTTCTCAAACCCTTATTACCCCTGATCTTGCCATTGTTTTTGACATCTAAAACCCTAACATTCTTCAAAAACAAGATCCACCTCAAACATCCTTCCTTCCCTCTCCCATTCTAACCCATTAGAAGAATAATCTCTTTACATTCTCTGTTTTGCTCCACCTCTAAAGCTTTAGAGCTTTCCACCATTTTAATCGGCCAAGGTGAATTTGTTTTTCAAGTGTGGAAGCAAAATTGCCCTCGTTTTGATCAGCCAAGGTGAAGTTCTGCCATTGGTTGGAGAAGACATGGAGAAGAAAGGATACAGTGGCCAAACCATACATTTTTTACATTCGAAGGGCATAAATGGTATTTTAAAATCTAACTGAGGACAATTTTGGAAGAACAAATTCAAATAATTACTTATTGTATAAGCACTTAAAAGAAAGATGGAATTTTGGGTTTTATTCCTGAGTGTAGACCTATAAAGCCAAAAAGTGTGCTTAGCATGAGATTAATAACCCAGTTAAAAAACAATTTCAAAATTGAATTGATGAAGATAACCAAAGACTCACATTAAGTTCTTTCTTGCTACATTTTATTATTGAATAGACAAATCCATGAAACAAATCTACATTACATTAAGGGTCTATTTGGTTCATAGTTGGAATTGGAATCGGAATCCGAATTGAAATCCTTCAGAATTGGAATTGGAATGGTCAATTCCCATAGTCTATTGGTTTAGACAGGAATAGGAATGGAAATTAGAATTGGGATTTTATTCCCAAGGGAGGGGGAGGGAATGGTCATTTCCTCAAATGGGGGAATGTCGTTCCAACAGGAATGGGAATGAGATTCCAATTCCACCCAACCAAACAATTAAAATCGGAATGATCCATTCCGGTTCCAATTCTAGACCTCTATTCCCATGAAGCAAACAGGCCCAATAAAAATAGAGAAAAAACATGAACAAAATATAGGGAAAAACAAACAATCCTTAATAATTATTCATAAGAGTATATTATTCATGGTCAATTTTCATGATAGAAACACATAAGAGTATACAACGATTACAAGCTTGTTTTCTGCCCTATTGTCTGCAATTTCTACAGACCAGTATGCGGAGAACTGGGCATTGTTATCCAGGATGGAATCAGACACTTGGCTCTGCGTTCTAGATTCGAACCATTGAAGATCAAGTTCAAGACGGCGTGAAACAAAACCTGCTTGTCATCTGGTCAAAGAAGCTATCAGTGTGTATGATCGATATACTAAATAATAAGTGACTATGAAAATTTCTTAAGAATAGTAATTAATAAAGCATAAAGGAAAACGATTTTACAGAGAAAAACGAGCTTACACAGAAAAAATAAAGTATAGAAACAATCCTCTTCCGGCGACGACCAACCTCTTCTGGCGACAACAATGACGAAGATACTTTCGGTGAGCAAAGGTTATAAAGGCTTTGTGAGAGAAGATAATGTTTGGCGGAAAGAAGAAAGAAGAGGACCGATTTTCATTTTAACCCTACCATTTATTGGGTTAATGTTCCAGTGGGCCGAGAAGCACCAGAACATTCCCACTAGTGCAAATTCAGATTACACATAAGCGCCATGTAGGATACACTATTCGCTAGCTCACTTAATTGTTGAAGGCAATAGTTCACCGATGCATGAAACGCTAAATTTGACATTTCAATAAGCGTCTGAACCAAACAATGAAA